GGCGCCTGTGGTCTCAGCTACTTGGGAGGCTGAGGCAGGAGACTCGCTTGAGCCCAGGGGTTGGAGGTTGCTGTGAGCTGTGCTGCTGTAGAGTGCCACAGCACTCTACCCAGGGGGACAGCTTGAGGCTCTGTCTAAAAATAAATAAATAAATAAAATAACAAATAAAATCAAGACAGGACAGGCTGGCATTCTTCCTTTCTTTCTTTGGGATGCCAGGCCATTCTCTCCCGACCCCCCTGCCCCAATCTTCCCTTTTCTAGCTCTCTGCTCCCCTCTCCTTCTCGTTCTCCAATATAAAGTAAACTCACACCTTTATATTCTAAACAAACAGAAAACCCAGTAAAAACATTTTATGCATTAAAGAATAAAAAGAAAACAAACCAACCTCAGGTGAGTGAATGTGTTTATTTAAATATTTATACAAACATGGCCCTAGGACCAGTGGATACTCTTCCCCAAAGGTGGCTGCTTCCCTTAAGATATTGCACAATAAAAAATACTTACATTGTTAATTCTCAAAATCAGATTTCAAGGCTGTTTTTTCAGCCATATAACTTATACTATGTCAACAGTGAATCTTAACTAGAGTCACAGTGTCATCCAGCATATAACAAATCAATTAGTAAGAATGTCGCTTAAGAAAGTCAAACAGAGCTTTAAACTTGAATCATTTACATTTTTACCTTACAAAATGTAAAACTCCTTTTTTACCCAACTTAGAGTAATACAATTATATACCTCCTACTTTAAACAAAATGAAAAGTGTTTTGAGTATCAAACAGTATGTTATCTACCTTGTAGACAGGATCTTCACCTAACACGGACGCTGTGTTAGCAACGTTTAAACGACACACACTACAGGGAAAGCTGCTCCTAACGTCGTTTTTCTTTAATAAGTAAAGACAAATTTGGCACTAGACTTTATCTAGAAATAGTACGGATATCATATAGATATTAATAGTAACATCTCCTTGTTGTAGGTTAAATAATTCCTGTTCGGAAGCTGCTCTTTGGAACAGTTTTTAGAGACCCTAATTCTACCATTCTAGTCCTCTGAACTGCCTTAATTCAGGGGTCAATTTGAATTCTAGACTAAGGAATAATTATCACCCACACCTGGAAACAATTACAAACAGTCCTAATGTGCATTACCCCAATTTAACTCTGATAGTCACTAAATCCATAACTCTAACCACTAAAAATAGCCATATTTTCAACTCTATCCTATTTACAATACTTTATATAATAAATAACTCGCAGCAATAGCGACACTCCTAAGGAAATTTTCTCTTCCTTTGAGGAGTATCACTTGTTAAGTTCGTTCATCAAAAAATCACGAAATGCATATTTATACCATAAAAAAGTGAGATCTGACAACATTTAGGTATTTTCCATTATGGCACAAGTTTTTAAGGCCCCGTCAGCACCACTAATGGAACATTTCCGTTTCCTCAAATTAGTACAGAGAACTGTCAGAGTTGAGAAGGCTGAAAGGGGAGGGGAGCTTCTTCTTGATCTGAGGCCTGGACACCCCAACTGAAGGGAGACACAAGGTGCTGGCCGACTTCTGCCTGTTCTTGCTGGTGCCCCAGCTCAGGAAGGAAAGCTTCTTGGAGATTCTCTTGGTTTTGTCAGTTTTATCATTGTCCTCAATGGCCAAGCAGATCATGGAGTAGGTTTTCTGCATCCCCACCGAGTATGTGGCACACTTACCATGCTGCATACAGAAACGGAAGAGAAAGGTGTCAGACGTTTTTAAGATACCTGATAAAATTGGGCAGGGCCTGTGGCTCAGTGGGTAGAGCGTCGGCCCCATATACCAAAGGTGGCGGGTTCGAACCCGGCCCCAGTCAACCTGCAACAACAAAAAAATAGCCAGGCGTTGTGGTGGGTGCCTGTAGTCCCAGCTACTCGGGAGGCTGAGGCAGGAGTAGCCTAAGCCCAGGAGCTGGGGGTTGCTGTGAGCTGTAACACCACAGCACATTACCGAGGGCAACAAAGTGAGACTGTCTCTGAAAAGAAAAAGATGACAGTCAGGTACTCAGTGTACACTTACTGCATCCCCGTAAAAATTAAATTCATGGGCAGCGCCTGTGGCTCAGTGAGTAGGGCGGTGGCCCCATATACCAAGGGTGGTAGGTTTGAACTTGGTCCCAGGCCAAACTGCAACAAAATATAGCTGGGTGTTGTGGTAGGTGCCTGTAGTCCCAGCTACTCAGGGAGGCTGAGGCAAGAGAATTGCCTAAGTCCAGGAGTTGGACGTTGCTATGAGCTGTGACCGAGGGCAAAAAAACTTTATATCATTCTGCAACTCAGATGACTAAAGCTTATATAGAATTAGGGCTCTTTGAAACAAGGACAATTTAAGGAATATACTCAACAGCCCCAATTTAGGTTCAGAAACCACTCAGTTTCTTTTCTCTCTCTTTTTTTCTAAGAGACAGTCTCACTATGTTGCACTAGGTAGAGTACTGTGGAATCACAGCTCACAGCAATCTCCAACTCTTGGGCTTAAGCAATTCTCTTGCCTCAGCCTCCCAAGTAGCTAGGAATACAGGTGTCGCCACAATGCCTGGCTATTTTTTTGTTGTAGTTGTCATTGTTGTTTGGCAGGCCTGGGCTGGATTTGGACCCACCAGCTCTGGTATACATGGCTAGCGCCCTAGACACAGCTACAGGCACCGAGCCTCGAACTCCTTTCTTCAAGCAATCTCCTGCCAGAGTTCTAGGATTCCAGGGATGATACAGCATATCCTGCCAAACAGAATTTAATCAGAAAAATAAATTATTTTATCTGCAGAATTAAAAGAAGTTTTCTAATTATCTGTCTGAGCCAGGATGTGTACATCCGAGTGATTAGAAGCTTAGTGTTAGGTTGTTCCTGCCTCGTGCCACGCAGGTGGGAGGCAGAGGGTCTGGAATAGACCTCTGGGGCTTAACTCGCAGACTCCACACCATGCCACCAAGTACTGCCCAGGGCAGGGCCAGTGCTCACCATGGACGACGTGGAGTCCAGGAGGCTGACAACCTTCATCTCGATCTCATCCTCGCCAAAGCTCTTGAGCAGTTTCATCACCTCGCTCACCTTCAGCCACTTGCAATCCACGCCTTGAATGGAAACAATGTAATCTCCCTCCTTGGCTCCTGCCAGCTGCAAGAGTGTTGTTTAAGTAGAGGTCAGTGTTTCCTTCATTTAAATCCCTGAATGGGTTCCCAGATTCATTAACAAAATAGACATTTGCAGAAGTTTGCATCGTGAAAGCAAAAATTCATCTTATTCTCACTGGGTATGTGCACCCATGAGGCCTTTCGCATAAACTCAGGCCTCAGACATGAAGGCCAAATCTGTCTGGCCCAAATCTGGTGACCCAGGTAGAAGCATTTAAACTGCTTTCTTTGTATTTTCCCAGTCCCCGTGAAGCTGCCCGGGGATTCTGCTCCTGACCTGGAAGGTGCATACTTACTGCAGCAGAGCAGTAAGGATCCAGGAAGTGGACCTGAACTGGGGCGTTCCCTCTCAAGGTGAACCCCAGGTCCCCTTCTTCTGCAGTGAAGTGAATGCTTCGAGGAGGTGTCCACCTCTTGTTGGCCGAGAACACAGATAAGGGGCCCTTTGGAAGACAGCGTCATTAGGTGTAGGACTAGAAGGCCAAATCAAACGTTTAGAAGGTAAAGCAAAGGCGGCCTGTTGTCGTCTCAGGTATGAGAACACTAATTGTCATGTTATAAATGACACAGCCAATATAGTTTTAATAGAATTAGCTTTTAGAAATTACCTTAATTACCTTAAAAATAAAGTCTCTAATATCAAAAAATCTGAAATAATTAAAAATGTTTTTAAATGTGCTATGGTCAGAATATTTGTGTACCCCGCCCCCCAAATTTGCATGTTAAACCTAAAGACCAGCCAGGCACAGACGCTCACACCTGTAGTCCCAGCACTCTGGGAGGTTGGGGAGGAATTGGCTGAGCTGAGAGAGACCCAGGCGCTACTAAAAACAGAAAAAAACTGGCCAGGCGTCATGTCAGGCACATGTAGGAGGGTGAGAAAAAGGATCAGGAAGCTGAGGCAAAAGGATCAATGAAGCCCAAGGGACTGAGGCTACTGCATGCCATGAGGGTGCCACGGCACTCTATCCAGGGGGACAGAGTGAGACTGTCTCCAAGAAAAAAAACCCTAATCACCAATGTGACTTTTAGGAAGGGGGACCTTCTGAAAGATGATTAGGTCATTTGGGTGAAGCCCCCGAGAATGGAATTGGTATCTCTATAAAGCGAGCCCTAGGAAGCTCACTTGTCTCTTTCATCATACGAGGGCACAGTGATAGCTTCTCGGCCTTTTGGCCAAGATCAAGAGCATGTGAGGTTACTGTGACAAGGTGTCATTCATGGATGGGGAAAGCAGGCCTCGCCCATACCAGTCTGCGGATGCCTTCACACTGGACTCCCTCGCCTCGAGAACTGTGAGAAATACATTTCATTCTTCTTCTTTTTAGACAGAGTCTTACTTTGCTGCCCTAATAGAGTGCTATGGCGTCATAGCTCCTGGCAACCTCAAACTCTTGGGTTCAAGTGATCCTCTTACCTCAGCCTCCTGAGTAGCTGGGACTACAGGCGCCTGCCACCATACCGAGCTATTTTTTCGAGAAAAGGTCTCACTGTTGCTCAGGCTGGTCTCAAACTCCTGAACAATCCACCTGCCTCAACCTCCCAGAGTGCTAGGATTACAGGCAAGAGCCACCGTGCCCGGACTAGAAATAGGTTTCTGTTGTTTACAAGCCACCCAGCTCTGGCATTTCATCACAGCTGCCCAAATAAACTCAGACAGCTGCAGACAAGTGAACTTTAAGAGCTGCCCCCGCAGGTCATTACAAAACAAGCACCAGCGTACCAGCTTCTGGAAGAAGTCCGTTACTGTCACCTTGGAGAACTGGGGTGATATAATCTCAACCTCTTGCTCAGTTTTAGCTAGAAAAGATTAAAAATGAAAGGGTAAGTGTCCCTGTAATTGAAAGCGACACTTGAAAACTCAGGTCTACAGTCTTCCCTCCAAAGAGAAGAGGCAGCAACACCCTCCCCTGGTCACTTGTCCTTCCCCTGCTTTAGAGCAGTGCAAGAAGATGAAGTCCGCTCAACCCCCGGCCCTGCGAGCACCTTCTATGTGGGCACTTCCATGTGCTCTCCAGGGCTGGGACAGAGAAGTGACCATTAGATGCGTCCCCCCTTCCAGGAGCTACGGATGTGCTCTGGGACTTCCTTGGCACTCTTAGACCCTCCTGACAAGTCATCTACATCTCAGGTGTTGCTGTTACGGAACTCCCTGTCTCTCAGTCACAGCCCGGGGGGACTGTGCTTCCTGCTTTCATTATGAATGTGTGACGCAGGTCTGCCAAAGTGCGTCCACCATGCTATCTCCCCGGCAGCTCAGCTCTACGCTTACCAGGAGGCTAAGTCAGGTTGTGACAGGGGACCTCAGAGCTGGCTAACTATACAGGAACAAGAGTATAAAGGGAATACCTAGGAAGGATGACCAGCACCACGAAGGTCAGTCACACCCCTGTATCCACAAAATGACCCTGTGGCTTCCCATAAACAGTGCCGGACTCAGGCGGGCTGCATATCTGCTATGTGAGCAGTGCCACCACCACACGGGAACAGCATGGAGTTCAGAGGTGACTAGGGTCTCTGAAGGAGAATACCACACCTCCCTCACAGCATTAGAGGGGGCCGGATGAGATTCTGTATACACATGGTGCTCACTGTCAGAGTGACACCACACCTCCCTCACAGCA